TCGGCGCTGAAGGCTTCATCGCAGCACCTCTTCTCCATCTGGGCGGTTGGCGCTGGCCTCTGGGAGGCCATTTCAGGGTTGCGCTACTAACTGGGTGTAGGGTAGAGAGCGGAGTGTGGAGTTCTGAGAGTGGCGAGATATTGGAACAAACTCTGTAACGATATTTGGTTTGAGTTGGCTCATCATCAATGTAAATCGTATTGTTATCCTCGCAGGTGTCTTCTTGTGATTGGTTGTTGGGAGTATTGTTAGAGAGTGAGAAATACTGTGTGTCTCTCCCCATCTGTGCATGGTTGTATTCCGCTGCCTACTTTGATCTGTGTGCAGTTTGGACTCTATCTCCTCTCCCCTTCGTCTTATGCATGTATGGGCGTGTATGAGATTGTCTGTGTGTGAGTGGCGGTGAAATCGTCACACAACCAAGTTCATAACATTTGGATACCTTTGGGAAAAGGAACCTCATTTTGGCGCAGTTAAGACTGGAGCAAGAAGGGCACAGTGGGTACCTGCCTTATGGCTGAATAGCGTTACATGCAACTGTTAACAAACCATGGCCATGTTGGACGTGGACCTGGACACGGAGGTCAGGCCGAACCGATGTCCGGATTAACATTGGGCCATACCTACCTCAAGGCAGTAGCCAACCCCCCTCTCTCTCTCTCTCTCTCTCTCTCTCTCTCTCTCTCTCTCTCTCTCTCTCTCTCTCTCTCTCTGTGTGTGTGTGGGTGTGTGTGTGTCTCTCTGGGAGATGCCCTAAGAAGCAGTGGGAGTTGGAGAGCGACATACTTGTATCATTGATTGTTAAATGTAACTTTCTCGTCCTCTTCCCTGTCTTTTTTCGCCCCTTAGTCCCCTATATAATCCTGCCTTGCTCATGTTCACTACATCTGAAATGTGCATTCGATCCGCATATGGACTTGCAATCATCTATGGAGACTTCATGTTGAGCACTGGGTAACTATGTGTGTGACATTGCTGTTTGGCTTCTCAACGAGAACGAGTTCATTCCATTTTTATAGAGTAAGACTAAGTTCATATCACTTAATAACCATCTTTATCTATACCAATACTGTATGTTCTTTGAAATTCAAACAATATATTTTTTATTATTTTATTCAATTTATTGGTCTATTGGTATGCACAGAGAAATTGAAAAACTGTTAAGGACCTGAGAACACTGCTGGTTTCTGAGTTTTGCCGCTGGAATGTATGCCTTGCTGAGATTCCCGCATTCTGCTGAGTTTTCTAAGTCTGTATGTGTTCGTGCTTGCTGGTCCAGTGGTCCATGTGCCTGTCTGAGTGCTTGTCGGCCTGAGTGTGTGTGGCCTGCCAGGGCACTTGTTTGTTTGGAAGGCCCACTGGGCCGGTACTTACCTGCGGCCGTGACTTTGGGGGTTGCAGCAGGGAAAAACACTCAAGTGGCCAAAGGGGTAGCTTAGGGCACACTCAAGTAGCGCAGTGTAGGTACCAGTAGCAGTAGCAGTATGCCGAGCAGAAGAATACAGAAAGTTAGTACCTTCAGGGATAGGAGTCCAGTAGTGTAGGTCTAGGGCCTGTAGAAGTAGATATCAGGTATGGAAAGGTGTTTCCCTCTGAAACGGAGGAGGTACCTGTTGCTTAGGAGGCCGAGCGGCCTGGAAGTCGCCGCCCAAGAGGCCGGTAGGCCGCTATATCTCCAGGAAGAACGAGTTGCTCCTCATTTGCTGCTTGCAAGTTTGCGTGTCACACTGCTGGCGTGCCTGGAGGAGCTAGTGTGCAGCACCGGGGGAAGAGCGCCCAGCCCTCCACCTTCGGCTACGGTGGAAGGGACTGGGTAGGAGGTGGAGGAAGAAGGGGCTAGGGAGGGTACTTACCTGGCTATGGTAGGCACCATCTTCATCTCCTCGGTAGGCGAAACATCTGTAAGGCACATCAAGAAGGCTTCAAGGCAGAGTTAGGCATGGCGGCCTGAAGAGAGGAGGACATGGGGCAATGCCCTTAGTAGTCCGCCATAGCCCAGACCTGTCGCAGGTGGAGGAAGATGGAGGTCATGGTGATGGTGGACCTCATGTTGTGCTGGCAGTTGAAGTGGGATTCGGACATTGATTCTGGTGCAGCCATTCATCGTTGTTATTATTATTTATTGTTTGAATAAGAGAGGGCGAGATAAGGAGGAGGAGATGGTTGGCCAGAGAAGGGGAAATTCCGAAATAGCCATTGGTCTTTTACTGGTGTACATCTTCTTCTTCGTCTTCTTTCTTTCTTCTTCTTCTTCTTCTTCTTCGGTCTCTATCTCCTCTTTGCACGGAGTCGGTTGGCGAGAGATGGGAGGTCATGGCAAGGAGTTGGTTGGCGAGAGAAGGGGAGCTCAAGTTCATTCATTTCTTTTTGCAACTGGATGGCATTGTATTTCCTTGTAATTTTGCACTTCAGAATTGGTCAGGGTGGTCACAAAAACTCATATAGCGATTTCTAATTCTTTCATGAAATATTGTAACTAGTTTCATAAACCGTTCAATTATTAACTATATCAAAAACTTGAAAAGATTACAATCATATACGGATAGATAGGGAAGAAAACACGAAAAATGAACCGATGAATCAAATTCAAACAAAAAATACATATCAGATACAACACTTGCATCGACAATATTTTTTGATAGAGAATGAATAAAATACAAACAGAGACCTAGCATCAATAGTAGCAATGACTTAAAGTTGAAAACATTTAGTACAGTACAAGATACATAATGATAATAATCTAACAAAATAACTCTTGGAAAAGAAAACCATATACCAATGAATAAGAATCAGCATTTTTGGTCTTCTGACTGACTACCGTGCTCTGAAATATCTCAACTTTGAGCTGCTATGGGTTTGTCAGATATCCATTTCGGTTGTCACATATGCACGTGCATGGATGAGACAGTGGATGAATTTTATCATTCATGGCTTGGTTGTCATCAACAGCCAGAACCATCCAATACAAAACCTCACCTTTCCTTTTTCTTCATGCGTGTCACTGCATTTATTGTTCTTTGGCAGAGGTGAACCTGCAGACTTTTTGGAGAACCAATCCAGGACTAGCTGTTCCAGGAGTTCCAGCTGCAAAAGCAAACAAGAGGAGGGTCAGTATGACTGGAATGGATGGACATTATGCGCACATCACAGAAGATGGATATGGGTATGACACAAGCTAAAAGTGGATCAGGTTATCAGACATGCCACAAGTGGATAAAGGAACAATGCACACAACAAATGAATAAGGATGCGGTAGGATGTAATCTCTCTCTCTCTCTCTCTCTCTCTCTCTCTCTCTCTCTCTCTCTCTCTCTCTCTCTCTCTCTCTCTCTCTCTC